TTCACATCACGGAAATTGGTCAGCACCTGTTCTTCCAATTTCCTGATAGTTTCTGCTCATGTATAACCATAAGCTTACTTGCTCAGCTTTGAGAAAGGCACAGCAAGACAGAGCTGGCAGACCACATTGGAATCAGGGGTCACGAACCCTTTGCTTGGATCGAGGGGCCAGTGATGTGGAGTTCCAGCTCTGTGCCTCCTTTCATCTCCTGGTATTTCTACCCATCTGCAGAGCTTTACATAGTATGAACTTATTTTTAGTAAAAGTGAATGCAAATTTCCAGAGGAATTTTTAAAATGAATTCCTAGACATATTTAGGGAGTGGCAAAGAGGGGCTAGAACAGCTGATCTGATATTGTTTTGAGACTAAGCATTGCAGACACACCCAGCATTCATTCTTGAGAAATAGAATCCAGAATGGCACTTAGCCCTAGGTGTGTCTCTCTCCACCCCACTCCACTATGGCCTCAGTCCCTTTCTGAACTCATACTTACAGCCTAGGGAACATACGCAAATAAATTTTAAAACAGATCAGGGAGGAGGGGAAGGGATTGGGGTGATGAGATTAATCTTCATGGCCATTGCCAATAAGAATGATTTTGCATTTTATTTGCCTATTGATTCTGTATTCAGACACACACATAGTTCCCATTCAGAAGCTGGCCTGGCTTGGAATGTAAAATACACATGGGTACCTGTCCTGCTGCCTCACACCAAGAATAGGCTGTGCTTTGCTTAACTAACACCCACCCACAAAGTGCTCCTCCACTAGGTATGAACAGTTTAACCTGGCAGAGACACCCAGGAAAGACGAAATCACAGAATGAAAGGAGCAATCACACCTCAAGTGAAAGTTTATGATGTTTTGGTTCACAGTGAACATTAGTCTCTCTCACTAATGTCAGGCAGTAATTCATTGCTGAGCAGCTGCCATAAAATATGATCACTTAGTGAAAGGAAAGAAAGAGGTAGAGCGAGGATTTCAGCAGAAATATGTAAGCACAGAAATCTTGTCTTTCCGACACAACCCTGACCTGATTACCCCAGCTTAGGCCAAAGGTTTTCAGATTTATAGCAGTACCCAAAAGCAAGTCCAGATGGTGTTTGCCTTTTGATTTCCGCCTGAAGTTGAAATTTTAATAGTTGGTGAGTTATTTCTAAGTTCCTCGGCATTTCCTAATGATTTATATGCTACATTTCTTAATAGTATAAATAGTATAAATAGTATAAATAGTATAAATCTTTAACACTTGCCATCAGAAAAGGCTGCCAATCCCATCCATAACGCGCGCGCGCGCACACACACACACACACACACACACACACACATACACACACACACACCAGAAAAGAGAAAAGACATCCAAATTGCCACTTTTCTCACCTCCTTTCCCCTTGCCTTATGTGATGTGCACACTCAAGGAGTGAAATTATGGTCATCAAAGGCAAGGTTGCAAACAATGGGGACCCGTAACTTTCAAACAAAATGAAAAGTCAGTAATTTTGAGAGCACCTATGGCTAGCTGCAGTCTAGCTCCTGGGCCCCTAAAACCCACAGTGAACTCCTTTACTCTCAGCAAACCCCTAAACCCCCTTCCGCCCACTCTGCTCACTCCAAGTCCTTATCATGCTGCTGAGAACTCTGAAAGGCCCTCGATACACACAGGAGGTTATTACAGGGCTCAGAGATGCCAACTCTGTAATTACAGCTACTGTGTGATTTCCATTATTCTCATGCCTCTGGGCTCAGTTGCTTCCAAAACTTTGCTGCAAAACCCTCCCAGAGCCCTGAGCTTGTTGGTGCTGGGCCTCTGTCCAAAAGGTGGCCGCAGACCTGATAACCTCTGGGAAAAGCAAATCAGGGTTATTTCAAGGAAAGGGGTGTGGAGCCCAGTGAGCTATGGGTGGTGGGAAATTCAATTGTCTAGAAAAAAATAAATAAACGGACCATTTTTCCTTTTTATTATTTCAAACAACAGACGTGACAGCCCAGCCTTCCTTTCCCAACTCTGACCATCCCCGTGGGTCAGCTGTGCTGAGACTGCAGAAGTGGTCACCAGGTTTGAGCAAAACTATTAAGAGACTGCCATTCTAAGCCCGTGGAGCAGAAAGTTTGGCTGCCTCAATGGCGTGGCTCTCCCCAGGAGAATGGACAGCTCATTCCCCCGCATGACCCTTGTATGCTTAGATTTCAGATGCTTATGCCTGACCAGCCCCACTGCTGGGCTGGAAATTAAATATAATGTCCCAGACGGCCGAAAGAGAATTGTTCTCGTATAAACCCACGAGAGAAAAAATGGGAAATGCCACTGCATGGCTTAGAAAGCCCAAGCCTGCCTGGCAGGGGTTGCCTGTCACCATCTGCTTGGCTCCATGAAGGCTTCCAATGGAGAATTTGTTCACCCAGTTTACTGAGGTAACTTTGTCCCCACTCATGGAGATTACTGAAGGGAGACAACAGTCTCAGGTTCGTAGTGTGGCCATGACCAGGAAACAGGTATTTTTTCCCCCAATAACTGTCTTTTCTGTTAAGTGCACTGAACTCTCAATGTTCATTTCACTGTTACTATTTTCTGACCAGTTGAGACAATGATAAATCATAAATTCTCACCCAACATGAAATCTGCCTTGCTAGCAAGTACATGATCCTTTGGCAGCTGGTAGAAGTTTGATGCATAGGAATCTTTTAGGGCAATGGAGGGAGTTACTTCTCTATAACATAGAGACTGGGCTCACAGAAGAAGAGTCCCAGTACCTCAAACTGGTGCCTATTACTAAGTCTCAGTTGTGCTCATTTGCCCTCAAGAGCAGGCAAAGCTGCTCAACAGATGTTCCATTGTATGAGTTGCATATGGTAACTGGGTCAGTCAGCTTCCTATTGCCATAATGAAACACTTGAGAAAATTCACTTATACAGAAGAAAAGTTCACTTTAGCTCAGTTTTGGAAGAATCCAGTCTAAGATCGTTTGGATCCATTGCTCTTGTGAGCCAGCACAACACGGCAGGAGTGTGTGGTAGGATAAATCTACTTATAGCACGAGCAGCAGGCACTGGGGTCCCACAGTCCCTTTCAAAGGCATGGCCTCAATGACCTCAGGACCTTCCAGTGGGCCCCACCTCCCAAAGGTTCCAGCATTTTCCAATAGTGCCACCTTGGGGACCAAGTTTTTAACACATAGGCCTTTGGGGAACATTCAGGATCCAAACTATAACATTAATGCCTTTGGGATTTAGAATTCACTTTTCCAGACAACTGAAATCATTGACTAATAGCAAAAACAGAACCATCTAAACAACCAACTGAAATGGCCACCAGGTCCCATTCCTGTTCAAAAGTTTATGCAGCTCTTTCCTCTGTATGTACTGAGGCTCTTTGGACACAATTTCAGCAAATTTGGTTCTCTGATTTCCTAGCCCACAGAGAGCTGGAAGGCACAGACTGAAGGAAGAGGAGAGGTGCAACAGGTGACCCATACCGCCCCACCATCCAGCAACCCAGAAGTGACAATTAACGCCATGCATTAGAAGAACCAGGAATGCTGTAATGATCAGACACGAGAGCTGTGTATGGACAACACACCCACGCTTTGCAGCATCTTCTCTAGGGGTCCAAGAAACTCAGTTGAGTGTGTGAGTAAATATCATAGAGTCACAGCAGCAAGAAATGGTTCAATTATATTTATTATGTTCTTTGGAGAAAGGGCAGAGACCTGTGAAATATAATTCCTGAAGACGTGTAGACAATGAGAAAATTTTTTTCCAGTTGTGACTCTGAAGACAGTCCCTAAAATGAGGTGCACCTACTCCTGGGCCCTATGGGAAGCACAGTACACTGTACACATCAGCTTCACAAAATCCCTGGGCTTTAGCAGGGTACATGGTTTTCTTTTCCAGATATTACTTATATGCATATCCCTCACTCGCGCTGCTCCCTGCCTCTCGCTCTCCACACTGTCACAATCCAGACCCATAACCTGTGCTGGAACCATACTGAATCTGCAGAGAGAAATGATTCTGGGCTGTTACATAGTAGTTTGGTAAAATGCACAGAGCCTTCTAAAGATTTGCACAGAACTCTTCCCTTCCCTTCATATGCAGCTCATGCTCAGAAATGCACCAAAGGAAAACACACAGGGATCAAGGCTCAGTCTCCATCAGGCGATACTTCTTCCCTTAGTCTAACTCACACAGTGTCCAAAGAATCCCAAAGACAGCCTAAATGAGACAAGTAGGAGCCCCCACGTAGAATCAGAAACATTTTCTAGGAATGGGCTGAAGTACAGGTATTGGGCAACAGAAAACAGGACCCACAGCTTAGTTTTAGACTTGTTAGTCCTCATCAAAGAGGGCAGGCCATGGTGCCTACTCCATCTCACTGAGATGAGAACACTCCCAACACTGCCAGTGGGCCAAGATCACCTGGTGCCCCAAGAGCCAACCTGCTTATGGGGTACAAGGAGGATAGACCAGATCCACTCTACCTTCAGCAATTTCTACGCTCCCATGGCACCTATGGTTTCTTGTCCCACAAGTTAGCTCTTAGCTCCATTAGCAACTCTAGCAGGTCTGTGCATTCCTCCATCTGTTCCATGAATGGATTCCAGATGGATGCACCAACCAGAAGGGTTGGAGTAAGAGGGAAAGGCATACTCCCACCCCTACTTGCCCAACCACTAGACCTAATAAAGCCCTCGCCTTAGGGCTCAAGTCTCAGTTGAACAGAGTGCACCATTTGGAATGACCTAATGAAGCAGGGCTAACACCTCTTCTGTGCATGTCGGCTCTAAGAAAAGTGAATACGCAGGTCCCATAACAACCTCAGCACAAAGGCAGAGAAAAGACAAGGAGATCACCATGACATCCACAGCAGCATATCTCAGCTCAAACAAGTCCTAGCAGCCCACAAGGCTTGCAGCAGTAACAAGCCATGAGATAATAGCCATCACTGTGGGGACAGATTGTCTTCACAATCATCAAAACAACTGCGCCTCATTCCTACCTTCTTCAACTTGCCGCTCTTGGTGCCCACGAAGGCCAGAGAGTGATTCTTGTAGACATATGCGATGACGGAAGTCATGCGGTCCCTGTCCTCTGTGAAGACGGGAATGCCACGGACCATCTCAGACACTCCCAGAGGGGCATTCATATCCAGGCCACAGAAATTATCATCAATGGTTAAGAGCTGAAAATTAAAGGAGAGAAAAATTAGGAAGGAACATCAGGGCAGTTGGCAGAGGTATGAAGTCAGGGAACTCTAGAGCTAAAGAATCTTTAGTAATGGATCCTGTGATATAAATCCTTCCCTTTGCAGGTAGAAATCTCAATTGCAGAGAGAACAGGTGACCTGTCCAGTTATCTAGGTGGGTAGCTGCAGGACTATGGCAAGGAACAAAGATTCTGAGAGCCTCTGTTCACCAGATTCCATTGCTTTCTGGCCATACGTATTCCAACCCTTCCAAGGCACCGTCTTGGTGGCTTTGATTGCCCATTGTCACTGTCACCTGGGAAAGCAATGAGCCAACACCTGACAATCATGGGCTCCAGACAGCTCGGCTCAGGCACAGGCAGAAAGTGGTCTTCACATCTGCACTGCCCTGTAGAGCAAACATCCAGTGAGGACTCAAAAGAGTAAAATTAAGACCAACTGCATGAATGTGAATCACAGGATCACAGCAAAAGCCAAGTTTGGACAACTGGCTAAGGAAAGGAAAAACCTCCACTCATCAGCTTATGAGCAGCCATTCATGAGTCCACTGTCAGGCTCCCTATCTGTTAGAGCACAGCAACAAGGGACAGTCTTAGCTTTGTCATGAATTCACTAGCAATTCCCAAAGTGCCATTTGTGGAACCCAAGGATGCTCCACATAAAAGTGCTTTGAGTAAACGCGTGGAAAGCATCCTACTCTCTCTAGGAGAACCATATTGGAAAGCCTTTTTAAGAAGAAATATGTTTAAATTTCTCTAAGTCTTCCCCAAACATTTCATTGCAAAATCATTATTGACCAGAATACCTGTCAGCATTCTCTAAAGAGACTGCTCTGGAGATATCCAGTGAGGCATCCAGTGGGAACCCCACTCGCAGGAGTCAGGAGCCAGCAGGGAAAGCTTTTGGGCCAGTTCTTTAGAATGTCTTCACTGGGTCTCCCCCTTCTCCACACCAGGTCTCCAGCTCCCAATGTAATAGATCTCCGAGGAAAAGAGGGGTCCCTGCCAGGTTCTGTAAACTGGGGAGTGTGCAGACCCCATGGTGACTAGTGAGGTGCCTCTGGTGCTCCTTACCAAGGAGACAGGCCTAATTGAGACCTTCCTGGAAATCCTGTGTGGCCTCAGAAGAGTTACTGTGTCTTCCTGTGCTTTTATTTTCCACTCTATAAAGATGAAGGAAACAATCCCTGCTTTTTGATGGGCTACCATAAAGCCTATTGAACTCAGGCCTGTAAACATCTTTGGATCTGTTGGAGAAAGGAGTGAAATAAAATACAAGGTGTCACATTTTTAAAGGCTTCAATCCAGCCAAAGCAACAGGCATCTGGAGAACAGCAGGCAGGCTCTTGCCAACATAGCTGTGTGAAAGTGGCCAACTAAGCTCTCCAGGGTCTGGGCCTCCTCTGCTCCCTTCCAGAAAGGGAGGAGGGCGGGCATCATCCAACTCAGGGAAGGGAATGTGCTGAGCTTCAAAAGCTTTCTCTAACACCCTCCCCCTTGCTACTTCCCATAGTAGAACAGTCTTGGTGCATAGAGGGTAAGGGTGGGCAGCGTGGGTAGGCAGGCCGCATGCAGAGCAGATGTCTGCTCCTTGCCTTTGATAGCCTCTGGCTTCTCCTACATCATCTGGCCCAACAGCCTAGACCACATGTAACTCTCACTTCTCCCACTAAGAAGAACCACAGGAGTTAAGTTTAGAAGGGAGCTTTCGAAGTCTAGTCTGATGTTTATCATTCATCCTATAATGAGATCCTGGGGAAGGAGATGAGTGGTAGAAAGGAATGGGATGAATAGAAGGCAAGAAGAGAGGATACAAGTTAGGGAAGGTGATGCCCATTTCTTGCTGGATGTAATGGAAGCATCCTACCCGCTGTCACCATGGCCGCCTAGGGTGCCAGAAATCTTCATGGCCCTTGAATGTTGGCTGCTTTCAGCTTACAAAAAATCTACACTCCTACATTTCTGGGGCCTAGCCTATGCTTCAGGACCTCTGCCATCAGCCAACTTTCTACTTTATCCAGGTGACCCATTTCCCAAGTAGCTGAGGCAGAATAATTGTCTACTCTACAAAAAGGGAAAGTGAGGCAGGGAGGAGCACTCCATATCCCAAAGTCCCACACTCCCTCTCACACACACCCACTCCTCACTAACCTGGGTGTGGCCAGCAGTCTCAGCCCCCTGAATTGCATTTTTTTTAATTCCCAACACAATTTTTCCCTTTGGTTGGTCAAAGCAAGCAAATCAACAGCTACGTACAAAAAGACAGCATAGATTTGGGCAACTGCATCATTAAATCATGCTTGTTCTGAGGCAAAATGTCAGTGACCTGTGGGTCCCTTTCCACATAGCACCTCATGCAGCCAGAGTTTGGCTGAGGGATGTTTGCATCCTTCCTTGCAGACCATTTTCAGCTCATGCAGCTCCCTACCAGTGGCTATCAGAAGGCAGGGGCTTGGCCTTCTCACCTGTACCATAACAGTCACCTGGCTCCTTGCCTACCCTCACTTGTCAGTGGGCTTGAATGAGGCAAAAGACACAGCTGAGGCTCATAAAATAGCACCCAGGACAATGACATCTTTCTTCCCAAGGTTCCCATGGCTGTTTCTCTTTCCCAATGAGGCCACAGGAAATGAGGATGTGATCAAGGCATATGACTGAGCTCAACCCAGGACCACATGAATGCTGAGGTCCCCCCATTGTGGCAGGATGTGGCTTTATTCTTCATTTCCTCAAAGCTCGGGCGATGGGGCTAGGAGTGGTGGAAACATATCACAGGACAGGTTTGCATGGCAGCTCAGGTGTTCCCTAGCTGTCAAAGAGCAAACCAGGGCTATGGTGATGACTGGGTGAGGCAACTGGTGAAGAAGCACCTATGAGCAGGAAGCACTTCAGCAATGGAAGACACTGTATGTATGCTGATTCTTAGTGGAAATCCTGCCCAGACTAGAGGAAGAGTAGCTGCAGTGGGTGGTCCTAGCTTGCTGTCTGAGCTGCAGCTACAGGTCATAAAAGTGTAAGAAGAGGAACAGGAAGGATCCCAGGGCTCACAGATCCAGCAGGCGGAGGGAGAGAAGATGCTGGGGCCACCAGGCTTATTAATAAAAGGCTCAACAGGTAAGGGGTGGTATGGATTCCTGAGCACTCTGGGTGATGGGGGAGTGTTTTCCCTGGTTCCACCAGAACCTTCTCCTGGATCTCATTAACAGCAAGATGAAAGCCATAGCCAGAGGAGCCAGGACTGGACTTGGTTGTAATCAGAAGCTCAGCTGCATAGGCCTATGGTTAGGCTCCCCTCTAGCTACTTCACAAATATCATGGCCACCATCATTATGATTGTTAATTAGAGAACAACTCCAAGGAAAACACCTAAGGGCCTATCACATGGGAAAAAATGGGGTGACCAGCTGGCCAACCCTGTCCACAGACCTGCTGGGTCCCTTCTCCCATCAAGAGGATATTGTATCTCCTTTCCACTTTCCCAAAGTCCTCGGGGAATGCATGGCAGTGAGATAAATTAAGAGAGGTGATCCACTATACTCCAGGGACTGTGAGTTTAAGAATGGAGATCATCTTTGTATGTGCTTTTACTTAGTGCCCAATTCATAGTAGGTTAAGAAACATATGATGGATAGATCGATGGATGGATAGATGGATGGATGGATGGATGGATGGATGGATGGACGGACGGATGAATGGACCAATGGATGGACAGATGGCTAGAATGAAGGATGGATGGCTAGATAAAATGTGGGTTTCACAGTGGCTAACCGCAGAACTAGATTTGAATCCTACTCCTGTTACTTACCTTCTGTTACCTTTAGAAAATCACTTAACCTTTCTACTCTTTAGTTTATCACCTATAGAGTGAGGATTACAAAAATAGTACATACTCCTTAGTGCCGTGGCAAAGATTAAATAATTTAATGCATCTAGAACAGTATCCACCACATAGTAAATGCTATGAGAATGTTCGACTTTATTATTGTCTGTCACTATTAGAAAAGTTAGATAAATTCTGTGAGTCTTGGCATCTGAGGAAATCCATGGCATCCACCTCAAAGGTATTATCAAAATTGAGGTGTTGATGTCAAGGTGAAACCGTAAAGGGGATGCTTCTTAAAGATCAGTCAGAATGCGGTAGATGAAGAAACAGAAGAGCAGTCATTTGGATCTACAAGATAGAGCAAATTCAAATCTGGGAGCCCCACCCCATGCCCCCTCACTCCATCAGAAAGCCTGGAGCTGACCAGAGCACTTTCATCTTCACATCTCTCCAGGCAAAAGGCGGAGGTTCAGGAAGTCCGACCTCCAGCCCGTGGTGGGCCTTTTGTCAGCAAGAGCACTACTGAGCAGAACCCCCAGCAGGACCTGAGTGCCAAGGGACCATGCACAGCCTCCCCATGGCTGGCTGAGCAGCAGCAGCCTGGTGAGGTGGTGCAGGGAGCTGGAGCTGACACTCCGAATTACAATCTAATAGCTTACGGCGCTTCCCTTGCGCACCGCAGCAAAGGTTACCGTGCAATTACGTGTCGCTACATACAAATGACAGAGCAGTTACGGTTACTTTACCAATTACAGGGAAATTGCTCCCACTCTGCAGAGAGACTGGCACTCTGAAAAGCTCTATCACTCCACAGAAAGAAGATTTTAAATACTGCCTGTGTCCTTCCTCCAGCAGTGTCCCCAGGCTTGGGGGCAAAGCAGCCGTCCAAGGAGGCCAGAAGTGTCTGGTGGTGTCTATGGAGACTCCCTGAGAAGAGCTAGAGGAGCGGGCAGACTTGGGAGCTGGATAACTCCCCTGATATCTCTCAGCATCACCTTCCAAACCCAGACCCCAATATCAAGCTCTTAAGGAAATATCCATTACCTTGACCACCATGCTAATCTATCTTGAAGACCACAGAGGATGAGGTGGGGTTGGTGTCTGACCCTGAAATCACCCTGAGCCCAGCTAGTACAGCCTCTGCTCTATTCCTC